CATGGAGCTCCCACTGATGATGTGCGTCATGCGGGCGATTTAGGCAACATTGTTGCTGGTCCTAATGGTTAGTTTTATTATTGTTCATGCACAATTCATATTTTTCAATTTCCAAGTTGAGCTATAATTAGATTGTCCCTTGAGAGATTTATGATTTTTTTGCTCTTTTTTTTTTCACTCAAGGGGTGGCCGAGATATCAATTTCAGATATGCTGGTACTACTATTGGATTTTTTTGAAGTTTTGTAGTTAGCTGAAATATTGCCTGACAATACTAATGCCAACTTTTCTTTTCTGTAATTAGATTCCGCTTAGTGGAGTACACTCCATCTTGGGGAGGGCAGTAGTTGTGCATGCTGATCCTGATGATCTGGGAAGAGGTATGGTTCTTGGTCCAACATATTTTATGTTTTTCGAGTAATGTATGATGGAAGTCCATTCAAGATGTTGCACAGAGTCCATTACAATTTTCCTTTCAGCTTGCTGTATAAGCTGCTTTGCAGAACTTATGCACCCTTTATTGTGGTTTCAAGATAATGTACAGTACAATACCACGGTGATAATTCTTGATGTTCTGTTTTATGGGAATTCAGTTGAGGTTTTGTGCAAAATTGTAATATTGACATCTTAATCAAGTAAACTATCTTCAAGTAAGGATTAAGTAGCTTGTTTGAGGCAAAGCTTGTTATTTCTTCTTCCGTAAAGATTTATTTCATAGCACACAATATGTTGTTCGGGCAAAGCACCAACTTCTGTTGTCTGCTGCTTTTCTTCAATTAGATGTGATGGATTGTGACCATTAATCATATCGTTCTCGTGCAACAAGCAGACTACGAACAACCCCTTCCCCCTTGAGGATGTTTTTAGACTGTTGTACGCCCTATCATCTATGAGGTCTCTTCATTTGGTTCCTAATATCATTTTTGAAACCTGGTCTACTATTCATTTCTCTTGAGGTTAAATGCACCATCTAAAGCCATTGTTCATGCTTTCTATGTGTTTAGCATAAAAATCAAAGTATTTTGAAGTATGTCTTTCTCTCTGAGTCTAGATCTGGCTAATTATTGCAACTCTTCATCAGGTGGACATGAACTTAGTAAGTCAACTGGGAATGCCGGTGCAAGAGTTGGCTGTGGTAATTACATTTTCTCTCTATTCCTTGAGATTACGGTAATATCTGCGTACTGGTGGTTGTTAAATTTGTCTCCTGTGTTGAGCTAGAGACATAAATACAGCATGTTATTAGCTCAAGTTAAATCTAAGGGATTATGTGATGAAAAGATAGACCAACTTTAAATAGAACAAGCCTACTAAAATGACTTAAGGGTGATACTGATTTTCAAGCTAATTAATTAGTCCTTCTAAATTGTACGGCTCGATATGAACTTGAACCTAAATTGCTGTATTCTCCAACAAAGAGCCTTAGCTTGATGTCTAGTGCCAACTTTTAGGTCCAGCTAATGACTGCTGCTTATACTTGAAGTTCCAACTTGCTACATCGATGGAGAAGTTTACATTTTTTCTGAAATTGCAGATCTATACAACAACGACGATCCAGTAAAATCCCACAAAGTGGGATTTGGGGAGGGTAGTGTGTACGCAGACCTTACCCCTACACCGATAGGGCAGAGAGACTGTTTCCGATAGACCCTCGGCTCAGGAAGATGGAAATAAAACAAGAAGAGACAATTCATTAGTATCGCCAACATAAACCATAGAAATAGTAACAACATCATGAAAACTATAAAATAGATGACATGCAATAACAATAACCAGCAAATAAGATCCGGAGCTATGAAAAACATTGCAAATCTATGTTTGTCCTTATTTAGGATTTTCCCTTTTTGTTTCTCTGTGGCACTGATGTCTGTTGCACCTGTCTTCTGCAGGCGTTATTGGGCTTCAGTCATCTGTTTAGTACTTGTGTTACTCACTTCATCATGTTGCTCCTGTCAAAGTACTCGTTGTAGCTATACTTAACTTTCAGACATTCTTTACCTTTGTATATTATCTTCAGAAATTGGCATCAGTATCAGTTTATCATTAGGGCTGTAAACATAGAAACTGCATGCCTAAGAATGAGGATAAATGTCTCAACAATCCAAGAGAGAATATAATTGTTGACTAGAATGATATATAGGTTGCCCAACGACATCTACTCGTGATCTTCTTATTTCAAATCGGAGCTAACTGAACCTTAAAACCTTCGCTGCGCAACTTTTCTTTTTCAGAAGTTGCCTGTTTAAGTTGGCTTTAGATATTTGTGATCTTACTTGTGTAAATTTGTCCTTCCCATGTAGATCAAAGGAACGGAGCAATCCTTTTTCCTTTGTGGGGCAGTTTTGAAATACACTCAAAAGGCAAGCACGAAGGAGCTATAGTTGGAACTTGTTTGTTAACCTCTGCCAGCTAACGCTACGTAACAGTCCCTCCATTCTAATTTATGTAATGTAATTTGACGCTAAATGAAATTTAAGAAAAAAGGAAGACTCTTGAAACTTGTCATAATATGTCTGGTCATAAGACATTTGAATCTTGTGGTCTTAAATATTATATACGTAAAATTACCACAAAAAAATATATTCTATACGTAATATTTTTGTGATTATAAAAACGCTTCCAATTTAGGGTAAAATAATAAAATGAAAATCTTAGTACTAAATTGTTTTCAAATATATAAACGTGTCATTCTTTATAAGTGAACTAATAAATATGTCACATAAATTGGAATAAAGAGAGTATACTCCAACGGACGTTTCTCACTACCAATAGCATCAGTTTGAAGAAAAGAGATTTATTGCTCTGGTGAAAGTTACCTGAAAATTTAACTCGAATTGGACAGCAAGAACCTTGCTAGTACACCATGAGAACTGAAGTTACCTCTTCGGTACTGGCCCTTGTGGAACCACATCCTGCGAGATTTAAGTTTGGCAGTTCTACACCCTGTGATGATGCTTTCTCCACAGGGGATGCCCACTTTTTGCAGTGTCAGGATACAGTTATTCTCTGCTTTTTAAAGTTTGCTCGACCTAGTTTGGTAGTTGAAAGGAAATAACCAGTTGATATAAGGAGGGATTATTGAGTATATCAGACCTCCAAGAGATAGTAAAGCGCCAAAGTGACATGTAACTTGACAGAGCTGTCGTAATATGCACTTGAGATAACATCGCTTCTTCAAAAACTGGTAGCGAATGCATATTGCAAGGCAAAAATTTCGCTAATATCTCTTAGCACAAAGCATATAGAAAATCTAGCACACTAAAACATCAGACAGTCAAGTTGAATGAAGTTTCTCCCTGGTTATTAGCTTTGCACCACAGTCAGCAATTTTCTGTCATGATTTGCGCTTGACCAAAGACCAACAAAATAAAATAATACTTTGCAATCTGAGCTCCTGCAGCTTCAATAGCAAAGAGGGCGGTTGCAAGTCTATCCTCTCAGCCAAGTATTGCAGTATGATGAATTGTCACGAAGAGAAGCATCATGGGGCTTGTATTCCATGACATAGCTACTGGGAAGCTTCAAATGTCTTTTGATTGAATCTCTGAGTGCCATCACAGCCTGGCGAAGCAAAGGGATTTAAGCATGTTTACATCTTTTTTTCTTTTTCTTTTTTTTTTGAAATGAAGCATGTTTACATCTTCACATGAAAAGAATGAGTTACATAAAGGTTAGGTATATAACCTGATGATCTGATGCATTGCGGTTCCACACACTCAATATATCTTCATTGGAACGAACACTTAAAACTGCACCACATATGTTATCACCATAATCAAGCTGATCACCCACCAGGGACAGAACCTAGGTAAGAGCCATATCACATTTAGAAGTTGAAGCAGAATTCAAGCAGCACTACAGACCCTGATGATCTGAGGATGTACAAATTAACTGTGCAGGCGGTCACCCATCTTTCAATGTTTTGGTGATCTTGCTATCCCTATACAGCTACTAATAGTTGCTGCTATTACATTCACATCATCTAGCTAATGGTTATTTAGCCATTTTACTCCTTTTAGTTGACAAAGGAAGAAGCAACATAAATTCATCCAACAAGAATGTACACTTAAAATAAAACACTTTTCTCCATAATAAAGAATTATTCAAGGTGTAAATTCACCAAAAATTACCTAAGGTGATAGCTAATAAAATATGAATGATACTCCTGATAGAAAATAAAAAAATTAGCGACACAGTGACTTCAGAACGACGATGGTTAAATATCCAAAAGTATCAATCTTAATACAACCTCCAACACCAACTTAAGTAAATTCACAATAGCGAGTATAAGAACTCCAAGCAAATATATGAACTCTATACATGCAAAGGACATCTTATACATGACTAAAAAATTTTGGGTAGTATATTGGGATGTTGAAAGAAATATGAAGAAGCCAGAAAGTAAAAGATAATAAGATGAGAAACACAGGTCTATGAATTACTGTCAAAAATCAACTTTCAATGCTTATACTCTCTGGCTAGATAGCAAAATCCAATAGGGGTATCTCAGCATCCATAGGGGTTGCGTGGCTGGCGGAAAAAGTTATCTGGGATTAATAAATCCTAGATTATTTAGTACTATTGCTTTTTTTTGTTCATTGGATTNAAGTCTAAACTAGGATATCACACCTTATCCCATGAACCAAACAACCCCTTCGGCTAAAAGGCACCGGTCTATTTTGGTATTCGATTTGGATACCTGGAAAGTACCACTACTTACATCATGGACACCGTATAATTTAATTATTAGATATTATACTGCTTCTGCTCTTAATATCTTTATCAATAACACTAGAAGTCTAGTTAAATGGAATTAACATTGAGGGTGTGTTTGGTATGATGGAAAATGACTTATATTCCACAAACCATTTTCCTGATAAATGTTTTCCGGTATTTGGTTGGAGAGTGAAAAATTTTCTTGAAAAATATTTAGTAATAATCTTTAATAAATATTAGCAAACCAGATAGTGGTTTTAATGAAATTTTGAGTATTAATAATTGATAATAATGTCTAAGTGTTGGTTAAAGCAATGATATGAAATTAAAAGTCAAGATAATTATGAAGGAAAAAGACTTTCCCCAGAAAAATTTTAAAATATTTTCTCGAAAATGCTTTTTTTCCACAGAAAATAACTCAGTTTCTAGTGTTTGGTTGCTAGAATATTTTCCAGAAAACATTTTTCCGCATAGCAAAAGCACCCTAGGATAGCTCACTTACCAAGTCTTCCCAGAAGCGGCCTGAGACAGCCTTTTTAAAACGAATTATCCACTTTCCACCATTGCAGTTAGCAGAATCCTTCATAAACATTAAAGAATATAATCAGAAAATTAACTCAGTACGAGATGTCCATAATACAAACTTGTAATGAAATAGAAAACACCAAAAAACAGCAGTTAGAAGCATGATCACAAGATTTTACCTCCCATAATGGACAAATGCCATCCTTGAAAAGATGCAAATCAGCTGGGCTTGGCAATGTTGATGGTCGAGCAAAGTGGCAATAGCAAACCCAAAATCGTTCGACCTACCGATAAGGAATGCAAAGTACATTTATAAAGGAGCCGAATTCAAGTACTTTTGAAAAGAAGATGGATACTTCAAGTATAAACAAATTTTCTACAAATAAAATGACTTACAGTACTAAAATCAACAATTTTCTTGATATTGTCCTCGTACGATGTTTGAGTTCGAACCCCAGGTGTCCGCCGAGTGTACCAAAACACAAAATTGTGCTGATCATGAGAATGAAGAACGTTAGTACCTAGACAAACAAGAGATATTACATAATAATAGCAAAAATGAACAACAAAACATGACAGATATATAATTGTACACATAGAATACTGTCATTATGATCTCTGTCATATTAATATCTATGGAAGAGGCCAAGTGGGCATAACAGGGTGCTTAGTTGTTGTGCAAGTATCCTCATAGATTTTGTGCAATTTCAAATCCAGATAATCTCCTACAACTTAGGAAAACAAAAGACACCTCTGCATCATCATTGTAGAAGATGAAAGAAAAGGACAGTCTGGTGCACGAAGCATCCCGTGTTCACGTAGGTCCGGGAAAGGGTCGCACCGTAGGTGAGTATGATGTAGGCACCCTACTCCGTGGTGATTCCATGGCTCGAAAACGTGTACCTTCAAATGCACCAATTCATAGGTGTGAAACAATGGCCAGTGTTATAACGGGATGAGGTAGACCTAAAATCACATGGAATGTAGTTGTCTCATAAGAACTACAATCTCTTGGAATCCATTTGGAATTGGCAACAAATAGGACACAATGGAAGAAAAAGACATATATAGGCAATACCAATTAGTTAGGAATATGTTTTAGTCACGTTGGTATGTTTATTATAGGTCATATGTTTTCTAGGAGATTAAACCTATCAGAATATAGATTTATATGACAATAGAAGATATAGAGAACTTGTAGTATTTTTTTTTCCTGCATTAGGTAGGGGTAAGGTCTGCGTACAGACTACCCTCCCCAAGACTACCCTCCTCAGACCCCACCTGTTGGGATCATACAGGGTTTGTTGTTGTTGTTGTTGTTGTTGGTCTGAGATGAGCTTGACATGCATGGTAAGTGGGGATTCATATAGTCGACCCTAACTTGCTTAGAATTTAAGCGCAGTTGTTGTATCTTTGTAGTTTGTAAAAAAGATGTAACTACTTTAAGACTTTATATGTGAAATTCCTGCCATGTGAAAACCGATCTGCATTTAGAATTATTTGTGGCAGTATTGTTAGAGCCTATTCAACTGGATAAAAAAATTCTATTAATTATTTCACTTAGAATTATTTAAACATGCAATGCTAGACTAAGAAGGAATACAGCCTAAAGAACTGGTCATTTTAATTAATCATCATCTTATTACTAATGATAACTCAAATAACTCGGAAGTAATTCTCATAACCCTACCCAAACTGGCCCTAAATATAAAGGACGTTAGATCATGTTATCATGCAATCATCTGACTGAACTAGGCAAGATAATCAGGTTGCAATTAGAATAGACCAATTAACTTGTAGATCACGTATCAATTGCCATTCTAATTGTTCAACATATCGAGGCAACCTAGCAAGGGAATAATTATAAAAGTGTTCAAAAATAACAATAAAAATGAAGGTAATACAAGTATCTAAAATAAAAAATTAAAAATGAAGGCAACCTAGTAAGGAAAATGTTCATAGATGTACAAAGAACAGGAAAAGATTTTGGAAGTTCATCACTAAAATACTCCTCTAACTGATAATCGAATTTCTATTGCTTTTCTTAATATATTAAGAAAGGCTAGTACATGCACCTAACTTATGAATAAATACTTAAAATGATAAAAAAGTGACAGTCCAACAGAAGATATTCAACTCCAAGTTGGAAGATATGCTCTCCATCTTGTTTTTACAGTATTAAGTTCTACTAAATTTGTCATACAAGAGGCAAAACTTGAATTTTGTTTCAGAGTCAAGGATCATAGAAGACAATGAAGGCTTTATATCTCTAAACAAGTCAACTGGCAGAAGAAAATGAGAGAACCAGAATAGACAAAGCTATACTGTGATCATTGGCATTAAGATTGCCTTCAATTTAGGCAGTGAATCCCCTCGTTGGGTCAAATCAGAAATCGCTATTTCATATATATTGTCCTCAGTGAGAAATCACCAATCCATTTTCCAGAAGTTCCACTAATCAGAGTGCTCCAATGTTGCAGTTCTTCATATATGCTTAATGGTGGTGATTCTTTCGGTGAATCATTAGCATTCCTTTTTTTAATGACAGTAGTGTCCAGGCTAACTTCTATGCACCTCGACTATTTGATTAGATACCTGCTACCTCCCACCAGCAAAAGTATTAAATAACTCTGACCGCCAAAGCTTAGGCAGATGGGACATCAGCATTCATTCTATTAACTAAGTGATTTCTCCGGGTTCATGTATTCTCCCCCTCTACTCAAAGAGGTTACTTCCTAGCTAAGTGCCCAGTAACAATTTCTCCGTCCCATCCAACTCCATAAAGGCATCAACGAGCATTTCATACACAAGTTTGACCTAGTTAACTCTCGCAATTCAAAAGAGTAGCCAAACAGTATAGAGATCATTATATTGCATTCATAACTATATTTCACAAAACTATATGGAAGAAAGATATGTATCTCATAAATTAATTCTACAAAAGAACACCTCACATAAGAATAAAGAATAAAAGCACCAATCCATGTCCAACAGATGAACAAATAATAGTAAAAATCAACAAACAATTTTAAAAACGCAAAAAGAAAAAGCGTATTAGCCAATTAAAAGAGAGAAACCTTGAGAGGGTGAAGACCAGCTTTGAGATCGAGTGCAACGCGTTCGAGATCTTTGGCTTCTCTATCTGCCGTCAAGGAATCAGTCGTCGGAGATGGAGTATTGTTCAAGTTCTTCTTCTCCAACTCTCTCTTCTCCCCCGTCACTTCCATTAATCAAAACCCTAGTTTTTATATATATCTACAATCTACAGCTATCTACACGTCTATGTATAAGAATATACTTCACCGGCTTTCTGGTGTCTGGCGGTTATCCTATTGGGTGTAATAGAATGAACAAACTGCAAGATGAAAGCAAAGAAGACGATTGTACTTCGACTGCGGCTTCCTTTCTTCAAAATGAATCGGGTCGGATCACCCGCGTTATCTTATTAGTGCACTACGCTGCCGACTAACCATCTATTAGTCTTGATTTAATTAAAATACTTTTATTTTATTTTCTTTTTTTTCCTCTAAATTTGAAATCAAGGAAATAACTTTAACCGATCAAGGAGGAGGTAAATTATCGATCATAGGTTGAAATCCATGTTACTTAGAATTCGCACAAATAATTTTTTAGCAAGAAAGTGGTCAATAAACAACTAAAAAAGGTTAATTTGTGATTGATAAACGACCAAAAAAAAAGTTGATCAGCGATCATTAGTTGATAAATGACCAAGTAGGAGGTTGATAATCAATAATAGGTTTTGATCGACCATGAAGGAAGTCGCTTTATTGACTATAGCTTGCTAATAGACCACGTAGGTAATTTATAATCCACTAAAAAAAGGATCGATTATGGATAATAGGTTGAAAATCGACCAAAGAAGAGATTGATTAACACCTAGGAGTAATTTTAATCAAAATAGTAGTAGAAGAAAAATTGATATATTTTGTATTCTTTACTATAATTACAAGGTCATCTACCTAATTGAAAAATGTATTCCCAATTGAAGACTTAGGAAGTCACTTAATTAACTATCCCTCCGCATAGTAGTTGATGCATAATTTTGGCAACTGAGTGATCTTCGTTCTTCTTGCTTTGTAGATCTTTGGTTAGGAGGTTTGGTTAATAGTTTTATAGCCCGTTTGGCCAAGTTGCAAAAATTAGCTTATTTTGAGAAGTGCTTTTCTCAAAAGTACTTTGGTGAGAAGCAGTTTGTGTTTGGCTAATTAATTTGAAAAATACTTCTGAGTAGCTATTAGTGTTTGGTCGAGCTTTAAAAAACTGCTTCTAAGTGTATTTTTCTCAAAAGTGTTTTTGGAGAGAAGCTACCTTTTTCTGCTTTTCCAAAACTGCTAGCATGTTTGGCCAAACTTCTAAAATCAGCTTATTTTAAGAAGTGCTTTTCTCAGAAGTACTTTTTAAAAAAGTGATTTTGGTGAGAAGCAGTTTATGTTTGGCTAATTAATTTTAAAAGCACTTTTGAGCAGTAATTAGTGTTTGGCCAAGCTTTTGGAAACTGCTTCTAAGTGTATTTTTCTCAAAAGTGCTTCTCAGAAAAGTGTTTTTGGAGAGAAGCTACTTTTTTCTGCTTCTCAAAAACTGCTTTTGCTTCTCCTCAAAATCATTTTTTTCCTTCCAAAAACTTGGCCAAACACCTCAATTACAAAAGTACTTTTGGCTAAAAAAGCACTTTTGGCCCAAAAAAAAACTTGGTCAAACAGGCTATGCTTCTGCTTCTCCTCAAAAGCACTTTTTTTCTTTTCAAAAGCTTGGCCAAACACCTTAATTTTAGAAAAAAACACTTTTGACAAGAAAAGTATTTTTACCTCAAAAGAAGCTTCGCCAAACAGGCTATTAGTTAGTGAGCTATCTATAATTCTTCCTCCTTGAATGCCACTTTCTAGCTCTTATCCAACTATAATCAAATCGAAAAAATTGCACGCACAAATTTCGAGCAACTTATCAAAATATGTGCCTTCTTGAATTTCACAAAGGTAGATATCAATTTCTCTTCGGCAATGAAGGATGTATTATTGAAGCTTCTAACCACCATCGAGTGGCATATATTTGGAAAGACTCATGAGGTATTTTCTTTACTTTAAGAAAATCGGCCATGTGACGATCGACTCTGATGTTGAACTCATTGTTTATAAAATCGCGGCTCATATCCTCCCATATTTGCCATTTTCTAAAGTCTTGTTTGGTGTACCAAGTGACTATCAATCCAGATAAACTTTGAATGAATAATATCATCCGGAAGGCCTCATCATGTCCAATCATAATCAATCTGCTATAATAATCCTTTAAATGAGCGACGGGATCTCCAATCCTATTGAAAGTGTTAAACTTTGGCAGCTTGCACCCTGGCAAATTGGTCGAAACTCAACGTTCGGATGGAGACACAAATTTAGACTTCGATAATTCCTGGATGCAGTTCTTCTTCAATGGTTTTTCTTAAATTGTGGATCTCATTGTCCAAATCCTTATGGCTACTTGGCTGAATTTTGTTTCTATGTCTTGTGTGTTTGCATAATGCATGTCTTGCTTGTTTTCCCCAAAAGATACCGCGATTGTGGAAGGCTAAATATTGAAAATCATCAAGACTTAATTGATAGTGTAGGTTGATAGAATTTGTGGAGAGATTGTATAGGTAGGACATGGGCAAGGACATATGGTTATGCAAATATTTCGTGTAGAGCTAGAAGCAAAGGTTGTATTTTGAAGAAGGTTGAAAGTATTTCCCAGATTAACCAACACGTTTCTTCGCACCATATTTACCTTGGTACCATTTTGTGCTTGTAACAATCACATATCGATACTGAATATTTTAAATTGGATTGCTATTTTAGATTCATCCTTTATGCAGATTCGTAGCCAAAATAATTTTCAAGGCTCGACAACCTAGAGAAAATAAAATTATACAAAACAAAAAGTAAAGTGTTGGAGTATTCAACCTATATGAAGTAAATGCAAAAAAAAAAAGAATAAATTATTTGATGAAATATATCATTTCATAATTTGGTTGAATAGGAGCCCTAGAAGAGATGACCCAAAATCGTAAAACAAATACACGAGAATGACTTGATATCTTAGTGGAAGACGCTCGAGACTTGATGAAAGAAAGTGAATCTACTGGAAGTTTATGAAAGGTTTACTAATGTGGAAAATCAAAGCTATAGTTTTGGCATAAGTCCTTGTCCATGTTGACTCTAGCGTATTCCAAAAATTACCACAGTCTTAAGGATGACATTTTTGGTGATTTCTCTGAGGCATGATGTCCTATCTAATCATACTCAATGTCTTCAGGATCAATCAAATTGCATTTTAAAATGTTGCCCTAGTTCCTTCGAATAAAATTTTCTATTATAACGAGATCGAGCCTTATGTAGACTGCATATGTATCTCACCAAGGGAATCAAGCCAAAATGTAGTTCCAAGTTCATAATCGTAATTTTACTAAATGTGATCGAATTTGATGTGGATTGCTTACGTATTCCAGCAAGAGAATCGGGTTAAAATGTTGTTTGCTTACATAAAAGGAGAATTTAGATTATTTTTTTAAAAGGGTCAAACTCGCATGAGGCTGCCTACATATTCCATCAAGATATGATGAAACAGAAATCAAACCAGTGTAGTTCCTACATAAAATAAAGATTTTGAAAGTTTTAAAATAAAGGGCTAAACCCGATATGGGGTTGCATGTATATATAACAGGCTTGGTGTAGTTCACTACAAAAGAGGAAACTTAAGGATACAAAGAGTTTTCTCATTTAAGCTTACAAAAATACATAACTATTCCCAAAAGATATGGCTACTTTAAAACTAACTTTTAGTTCATATCTCCCAACTATTCTTCTTCTAGGAGGTACACTCATATGTTTAATGGTTCTTCTACATTGCTTGTTTGTAAGGAAGAGCTGGATTGGTAAATTGTGTATATGCTACTTGGTGAAATTCGATATAGGGATGAGAATTAGAGGTTCATACCATACAAACTGAGGGCGAGGCACTAGTCTTTGAGTGGCCCTATATTATCTAACAACTTCTGGATCTCCTCCTTCAAATAATAGCACTCATCGGTAGTGTGACCTGTCATGCCCGAGCGAAAGGTGCAATTCCTGGCTAGATTAAATAAAGGGGAAAGATTGGGAGGTTTCGATTGAAAGATCCCAGCTAATCTCAATCTTTTACATATGTATGAAGACCGTTAATTCAATGGGGTGAAAGTTTGAAGTTTTCTCATTTTGGGAATTGGCGGCGAAGGGCTTGGTGCTTCAACGACCACTATTTTCATTTGTCTCAATCGAATTGCCAAGCTCGAAAGTTGGTTATACTACTTTTCCTTGAGGTTCCTTTGATTTCAAACTCTCGAGAGACTCTATGGATTCCCTTTTCAATGGACTGCAACTGCAACTTCTAGGAGTATTATTGGAGGACCATGACCCATATTGCTTGACAAATCTTTTACTAAATCATCCCAATTGAACCATTTTCATGTGTCTTGCTTCACACACCACATCAAAGTTGGCCCTACAAGCGTCCTAACAAAGAGCATCATTTGAAATTCATTGCCTTTTTTAACAACCTAACTAGTTATTTTGAGTTCTACCATCTCATTCTGTGATATGAGACCTCGAGTAGATTCATATAATATTTTATGACTTGCATGTACGATTGGTTTGATTTTCGAAAGGTTCGAGAGTGATTTGGAATACCTGATTATCAACTAGAGGCTTTAAGTTAAAAAACGATTTACCAAAGTCAACATTATAGGTAAACAAGCCCGAATTCATGATTTGAAGGTTCTAATAGGTTTGTATGACGATTTTAGACTTGTACGTATATTCGGTTCGAGTCTCTAGTAGGTCAAGGTTAATCTAGCACTTCTAGTTGAAAGTTAAAATTCATGAACTTAAGAGAGTTCCATAATTTGGATTAATCTCTGATGCTTGGTTTTGATATTGTTATTTGTGTTTTAATCTCTTGAAAAAATTCGTGGAGGATATGAAGACTTTATAGGATGGTTAGACGAGGTCTCGAGGGGCTCGAACGAGTTTCGAGATAGTTTCTGAGCATTTCGATTTGAGTTGCAACTGGTAATTTTTTGGTGCACAGTAGTGCATCGCGATTGTGGAGCTAAATCTTGATCTCGTTCAAAGACTTGGCCACGGTGATGCTGACTTAGACCTGTAGTGCGGTGGTGACAAGACCAATTGCTGAGAAGCTGTCCGATCCAGGGAGTTTCACAATTCCATGTACCATTGGTAATTTTGCTTTCGCCAAAGCACAATTCCATGTACCATTGGTAATTTTGCTTTCGCCAAAGCACTGTGTGATTTGGGGGCTAGCACAAATCTTATGCCCTTGGCGATCTATAAGAGGTTGGGTATTGGAAGAGCTAAACCCATTTCTATGTTG